CCTTAAAATACTCTCTATGATTGGGAAAACAGATCAGACAAATTTAAAATCAAATCAAATTTATTTTCTAATTAAAATAGACTCCTAAAACATTATCTAAAATAGTAAAAAACTAAAAAAAACTCTGATACCTCTCAATCCAGAGGGAATTTCGTGAAATAGACGGTGGCAAATCAAACAACAATTGATTTAATTGACTCCGTCTCAAAAAAATACGCGATTTTTGTATACAATTCGTCCAATTTCGATGTACAGTTTGGGAGATATGACCCGTTATTCGTTGCAAGTTATTTTCTTCTGCCAGTTCCGCGTTTGGGCTTCTGACGGTCCAGTTTCTCCATAAATATATCCGCAGTGTGTTTTACATCATTATACTAATATTTTCATTTAAATGGAATATACTCATATAAACTTTGACAAACATTTTTCACACATCCATTTGTCTGAAAGTCACTTTCAAATTTGGAGCGTTTGGTAAGTGGAGTGTTTTTTTGTTTCCGTGTCTTTTTAAAAAAAAATCAACCAAATGCGTTTGGGAAGTGAAGCGTTTTTTTAAACTGACCGTATACAAAAATAAAAAGTCCAACGGAAATCTCAAAACACCATATTGGTGTTTTGAGATTTCCGTGGTTTTTTCTCCCCAAACCCATCTCCGCCCCGACACCATCGCAGCCACTCCTCGTCGCCGCCCCGACCCGTCGCCCAACCTCCTACCCGACGATCGTCACCGCAGACCTATCTCCCAGCCTCCGACGGGAGAGAAGCAGGGACTCCGAGCTCGAGGCGAAGTTCCCCCGTTCTCGACGCCAGTCGCCGACGACTCCAACCTCTCCTCCCCCCTCCTCAAGATCCTCCCTTACTCCATCTCTTCACTCTCCTCTCCCTCCCAATCCGTCCGCAAAACTAGTAAAATCCCCCAAATTCTAGGGTTTCTCCAAAACCCTAACCCTAACCCCTTCCTACTTTCCGTTCCTAGGTTCTCGAGATTTTGAGTCATGTGAACAAGCGAGTCAAGCACCGGCCGGAGATCGGGCTGCCGTTCTCGGAGATATGAAGGGTTTACTGTGAGCTGTTGGTGGGTCTTGGGAAGCTGCCTCAATAGCATCAAGATATCATTTTGATGATTGTTACAAAGGTATGAGTGGTTAATTTTAGCTGCTTCATGAAAATCGTTAGTAGTTTGGTCAATGTAGAAGATATTATTTTGGTAACAATTAATTCTAACTTATGTTGCATATTCAAGAAATTATTTGAACTATGAATCTGCTCTGTGATTATTGGACTGTCTTGCATGTAATTGAGCAAGGATGCATAATAATTGAGTTTGACAAAATTTTCCAGTTTTGAAAACACTGTCTTGCATGTAATTGAGCAAGGATGCATAATAATTGAGTTTGACAAAATTTTCCAGTTTTGAAAACACCGTTTGAAAAATAAACACCTTGGTATGGACAAAATTTTCCAGTTTTGAAAACACCGTTTGAAAAATAAACACCTTGGTATGGTGTTTTTAAAAAAACACAACAAAAAGAAACACTTTGGTTACCAAACACTCTCGCTCAATAGATTTTTGCGCAAATAACTGCTATTCATACACGCATCACAATGCACTAGGCATACTAATAATTAATAATAATGGAAAGATGAGAGTTCAACAGTATTTTTTTGAGGGACTTAGTCCTTTCATCCAAGAAAAAAAATTGAAAAAATAGATCTTTAGTATTTTTCTTAATCTGTACCATATGATCAAGTAAAAAAAATGAAGTGCTTTATTATTGCGAGTAACGAAGCGGTAGAACCTACGCCAGACGGCCCGACAACAGCTTCTCCATATTTACATTCACCGAGCGAAGGTCCGTGAGCTTGTTTGGTCGAAATTAGAATTAATCAAGTAAAAGTAATTGCCAAATGCAAGATTAAGTGTGGCATGTCCGATGAACTCTAGCTCTGGTAGGATCGGATCCATGGATTGAGTCCAAGTGAATGATCGGTTCACACTGATTGATTCTCACCCCTCCACGGGATCAACGGTGGAGCCACATAATGTCCAGTAATGTAACTGAAGAAATTACAGAAACTCAGAAGAATCAGGCAAACCAGGCGGCGGTCGACCGGTCCGGTCGACCGCATTCGTGCACAAGGCTTCCCGTGCGTCAAAGCCAGATTAGTTGCCAAGGGATATGCACAGCTTGAGGGCATTGATTACAACGAGGTATTTTCACCCGTTGTGAAGCATTCGTCGATTCGGATTTTATTGGCGTTGGTGGCACAGTTGGATTTGGATTTGGTCCAGATGGATGTGAAGACAGCCTTTCTACACGGTGATTTAGATGAGGAGATCTACATGACACAACCACAGGGTTTCAAAGCTGCAGGAAAGGAAAATTTGGTTTGTAAGCTGAAGAAGTCTCTTTATGGTTTGAAGCAGTCACCAAGACAGTGGTATAAGAGATTCGACGGCTTTATGATTGGCCGAGGGTACACGAGGAGCCCATATGACCCATGTGTTTATATGCACAAGCTACAGGATGGTGAGCTCATATATTTGCTTTTATATGTTGATGATATGCTTATTGCTTCCAGGAATTCTTCGGCTATTCGAAAGCTGAAAGAGGAGTTATCATCCGAGTTTGAGATGAAGGATCTTGGAGAGGCAAAGAAGATATTGGGTATGGAGATCGAGCGAGACAGGGTGAAGGGGAAATTGAAGCTAACACAGAGGAGTTACTTGCAGAAGATGTTGAAGAAATTTAGCTTTGATGGCAATGCAAAAGCAGTTAGCACACCATTGGCTCCCCACTTCAAGGTTTCAGAGTTGATGTCACCTATTTCAGTTGAGGACAGAGATTATATGTCGAAGGTCCCATATGCCAGTGCAGTAGGTAGCTTGATGTATGCGATGGTGTGTACGAGGCCAGATTTGTCACAGGCCGTGAGCATGGTATCGAGATACATGCACGACCCCGGGAAGGGTCACTGGGAGGCCGTGAAGTGGATTCTATGGGATGTTCGAGGCACCGTGGATGTTGGTTTAGTGTTTCAGAAGGATGAGAAGGACGGGCAGGCTTGTATTGGTTATGTGGATTCAGATTATGCTGGAGATCTTGACAAACGCCGGTCTACGTCAGGTTATGCTTTTACATTGGCAGGTGCACCTGTATGTTGGCGTTGCACGCTTCAGTCCACAGTGGCTCTCTCTACTACAGAGGCAGAGTATATGGCAGTTACTGAAGCTATTAAGGAGGCTTTATGGTTGCGTGGATTATTGGAGGACTTGGGGATTGCTCAGGAGACTATTCGGATATATTGTGATAGTATGTCGGCTATCTATTTGGCGAAGAACCAGGTTTATCATGCGCGCACGAAGCACATCGACGTCAGATTCCACTTTGTACGGGACGTCTTGGATGATGGAGATGTCATATTGGAGAAGGTCCACACAAATGACAACCCTGCAGATATGTTGACCAAAGTTGTTTCAGGAGTGAAATTTGGTCATTGTTTGAAGCTTTTGAACATCCTTCAGTGCTGAGGCCTTTGGAGGCCATTAATATGAACTACGTTCGGCTTGATTCCTTGGGCAAGATGATACGTAGGCAGTCTTTCAGATGCAGTCGGTTTGATCAGTTGATTCAGATGGGGGGGGGAGATCGCGTTTTAGCTCGAGTATTGTTCCTGGACTTGTTGAGGAACTATTGGATGATTTGGTGTCGGCTCAGTTTTTGGTGGAAACATTCGCCGAGGTGGAGAATTGAAGAAATTACAGAAACTCAGAAGAATCAGGCAAACCAGGCGGCGTCCGGTCGACCGACGCTGTTTTGGGCTGGGCTTTCAGGTTTTCGACCCGATTCGTTTTGTAAGTTCTATATATACCTAAACCTGTTTGTTTAGGGTAGAGGTTGGACGAATTTGAGCAGCCAAAGAGAGAGAATCATTGCATCCAATTGTGAGAGAGCTTTGAGAGATCTAGAGCTTTGTTTTAGGGTTTGGTCTGAGAGATTTGTAACCCTATTTGTATTCTCTTGATTTCTAGTAGAAAGAACTCCCCCCTCCTTGCCCCGTGGACGTAGGCAACTTGCCGAACCACGTAAATTCTTGTTCTTGCTGTGATTGTGGTTTGCATATTATTTGTGGTTTAGTTCAAGTTATTGTTCGTGTTGCCCTAGAAAGCTTCCGCCGCGCACAACAGTAACATGACATGATTGATTACTTATTTTATGCATATTTTTATTTACTTTTAACTTATATTTATTTTTTAAGAAACCATTGGAATTAGCGTAAGACACCACTAAAGGACCAAAGTTGTATAATTGTCAATGTACATTCAAGATACAACTACGATAAATTTAGAAACTTCAGAATTGTGTTGTTAACGTGGGAGGGCCATGCTCTTGTACAAGGGGTTCAAGGGGTACATATGTATGCATGGGAGGAGGCTCTTGGCCATGTGCTGTAGGAGGGCCATGCTCTTGTACAAGGGGTACAAGCATGTGATGAGGCTCTTGCCCATGTGCTGTGAATGGCTGAGAGGGTACAATCCTCATAGTGGAACCCCCCTTGGTGAACGTATGCAAGTTTGTCGAACCACGTAAATCTATTGTCTCGCCTTTCACTGAGAGTTAGTATTGTTTGTAGGTTCACTCGACAAGTCAGTCTTAGAACTGATGAGAGGTTGAGCTGGAACAAGAGTTTGCTATTGCTTTGTAGATTCCCTCGATATTTTAGTCTTAGAACTGATGAGAGGAAGAGTGTATATTTCACTTTGTTGAAATACCTCACTTTCGATTCTTGTTTCCTTTGAGAAATAAGAATTTCACTATCTATTCTAGTTTTCTTTGAGAAACAAGAATATAGAAGTTAACTTGTGCTTTTATGATAACAAAAGTCAGGGCTATCTCTCAGGTGATATCGCTTCCGCGGCGATGGGCGTGACTCTGTGCCCAACAGAAGTAGTACTTTCGTTGATTCAAATTGAACTAGAAACGAATTTCTAAAGCTGATTAAAAAAACACCGCTCCACAAGAGGCTCAACCATTTACAAAATAAAACACTAGTAACTTTCTCTAAACATTGGATTTAAAAAGCTCCCATACATACAAAAACTCCCCTCCTTACAATCATTCTTGCACTCCCCCTAGTTCTTATGATCAATCGTCAAACTCGTGCACTCCCCTCCACAGCACTGCCAATAACAATCTTGATCGGAGCTCCCACTCTCGATATTATCAGACTCATCAAAGCTCGAAGCTTGTTGCAGCGTGTCTCTGATACGTTTTTGTTTTGAAGAACTTATGCTAATGAGGTCTCCATTGAGGAACACCTTCATGATGTTTTTCGTCCTCTTGACCGAATGGTTGAACTTAGTAGATTCTATTTGCTTTTGGGATTTCTTGTGTAGAGCTGTCTTGATTGTACTTTCATAGTTTCTCTTGTGATGATTGGCGCCAAAATTGATCTAAATACCTGAATTAAAATAAAAAAAATATAATTTCATCAACGAGAATTTAATATAGAAAATTTATCAAATGTCTTAATTTTTAAACTTATTTTTTCTGTACCAGCTAATTTGATCAATTCCATGGGTAAGCTTTGGAACATGTGAATTAAATCTGTATTCGATAGTAGAATGCACAAACTAATTATATTCCTGTCTATAGTGAATTGTCATATATTATCATTCTACAATGTATAAGCTATTTAAAGCACATATATTTTACCCCTGTTATAAAGGTATGTTTGCTTCCTCTCTTCCTCAAGAAGAAGATCAGTTCACATCTCTGGTAATAACCACTCATTACAGTTATGATTCATACTAATAATATCTATCATATGTGAATTACACTTATTCTCATTTTTAATTTAAGAAATCATAACCGTCCACTGAATTATATATACTTATGATTAAACAAGTAATCTCTCTACCATTAAACTTTTAGCATTCTGCAATTACTTTATGTTTGTTAAATAAATAAATTTCAACAACAAGGCAAAAATATTTTCTTAAGTAAAAGAAAAGTTTATAAATAACATACAAAATTCATGTACCTTCCAAACGATCTCAAGATTCAATCCGGAATCGATATAAATTGCTGCAGCAACAGACTTTATAATATCAGCCAATACTTTAGGAGCTTTCTTTGTATTTCCTTCGTAGCTCATCCGGTCGATTTCGATGTGTCCTTTAGTCGTAACAGACCGACTGAACTCCTGCACCTAATAATAGAGAAGATAAATTAGTTAGAAATGTGAAAAAACCAAGATTTAAAGTATAGTTTTGCAAAACCATGAAATTTTGTGGTTTTTGCAGAACACCCTCTTAAACTTCAAAATTCGTGGAAACCCCTATATTTTAGGGAGTTTAATATGTTGGAGAAAAATTGGGACCAATTGGTCAATGAGCTTTAAATAAAGGATAGGAACCAATTTAACCCAAAAGGTTTAGCTATTAGGTTTTGACCTTACACGCCCAATTATTTAACCATCTCCAATGTGAGACTATGCTCACATAAATAACCAACCTCTATCGTCCCTAGACCCTTTAATGACTTGGTCTGAAAACTAGAAAGAAAACAAATATGACTACTCAATGCCCTCAAGATATTCCACCATGTATTGGCTAATTCGACCATTACTACTCCTACAAATATGACTACTCAATGCCCTCAAGATATTCCACCATGTATTGGCTAATTCGACCATTACTACTCCTAGAATCAATCTCAGACACCATTCACAAGATATTCCACCATGTATTGGCTAATTCGACCATTACTACTCCTAGAATCAATCTCAGACACCATTCACTGTCTAACAATCATCCTCCTTGACACCTCTCATCTTTGCATTGAATTTTATTTTGCCTTCAGCCATGACCATGGCCCTAATACAACTTGTTCTTGCGGCCAAATCGAGTGTTCATTGGCTTGAAATAGATGCTAGGAGCCAATTTAACCCAAAAAGCTTACGCTATTAGGTATTCAGCTTAACTCTATTCGACACTATCACTCTTTCTCAAGCTTTTTCAATGTGGATTTAAATCTCTTCCCTCTTCGCCAACAACCCCACCTTCATTTGTGAGTATAGCTCATTATTCACAAGAATTGATGGACCATTCACTAAGTTGGTCTGAACTACAACCATAGAGAGTTGACATGGCTAGTCAACACGAAAATAGTTTTATCAAAGGTTTTAAGCAAAACCATCAAAGTTGAGAGGGATTTTCTTGATATTTCTCCTAAACATATTAAAACTAAGATAGCTAGCTATGCTTACCATATGATCAAGTTCTTCATTATTGCAACGGACGAAACGGTAGAGTCCGAGCCGAACTGCTGCACGAGCCAACTTCTCCTTTGATACGTTTGTGCCACGAAGGAACGTCAGCTCACCAGGGCCGATATCAGGGTTATTCAAGTAGAAGTAATTGGTGAATGCAAGACTAAGAGTTGCATTTCCCAAGAACTCGAGTCTCTGGTAGGATGCATGGGCCAGGTACGAGGAGTGGGTCAAGGCCTCCTCAAGTAGCCTTGGGTCACAAAAATTGTAGCCCAGGGCCCATTGGACCTTGGCCACATTGGGCCACGGTGGCCCACCTTTAACATCAAAAGATAGACGAAGAGATTTTGCTAGCATGCACATAAACATTCCACGCTCGCAAAAACTCTCCTTATGGTGGTGACACACGCAGGATATATGATTCTCGGTGTTGTCGGACTCATCGAAGCTTGAATGTTGTTGCAGCATGTCTCGTGTTGCATTGAGCTTGACAATGTGTTTGTGTTTCGACGAACTTATACCAGCAAGATTTCCATTTCCATCGACAAATATCTTCATGATGTTTTTCGTCTTCTTAATGGAGCTCTTAAACTGAATGAATGATCTGTGCTTCCTGCGTTTCTTGTGTAAAGCTGATCTAGATTGCTCTTTCATAGCTTCTGATGTGGTGATGGGCGCTAGAATTGATCTAAATACCTAAATTTATAATCGAAGAAACTCAATAATGCTAATAAGAACTTAGAAAAAGATGATTTATCCATGATCTAATTTTTAATTGGATTTATTTTTGTTAAACCAATCACAAATCTATCCTAAAATAGTCAAAAAATGTTTCTAATAGAACAAAGGTAGGTTTGACAATAATTTAACAAGAATTAAGGATTAAAAATGTCTAAAATTAATATGTGAGCATCACATAATAATTTTTGGAGAAATATTTTTAGCCCTACGTTATTTGAGTGCAAAGGAGAGGAAAACTCTAATGTATTTAAGTCTTACTAGTTGAGATACACGTGCAATGCACATGGTTGAATATCATGATTATTTAAATTGATAACAATAGAGTAAAAATAAAAAAAATAAAGTTTTTTTGTGGCATCAACTCAATAATCTCTCTCTTAAATAAATATTATCATTGTTTTCTTCAACCCAGACTGTGACCACGTAATCTACTATTTGTGAGTTATAAACATATTAATCTAATACAACACCTTTATTTATTAGTTTCTTGAAGTCTTTAAAAGATGGGTGATCATTCAATTCGTAAAAGAATTTTGCATATGAATTTACTTGCAATATGTCCATTAAACTTTTAGTTGTGGTTTGACTCATATTCACATTAACTTTTAGTTATTGTTTCACTCATATTTATATTATCTAATATTCTCATTCAATTTTATAGCCCATTCTCTGTATCATAGAGGTAAAACTGGAAGTATGAAGAATTATTTTCTTACGAAATTAGAATAGGAAGATTATGATATATTTCCCTATGTGCTTTAAATATAATTTTTTTTTGATACAAGGTCTCTATCAAATCTTACCCTAAATGATGTGAATAAAAAATGCTATTATAACTCACTTGCCTAGGACAATTATATTGTATATATAATACATAACTCATCTGGAATATCCACATCTGCTAAGTGGATTTTGTTGATGTAAAAGCAACATGTTAGAGGCTCGTATTCAAACTTTTTGACTCTATAAAAGACACAAGAATTTGGAGTGCATAGCTTATATATTGTAACGAACATACTGATTCATGAAGAAATTTTCCTAATAACGATATTATTACAGCGATATTACTATATATGACATTTTTAAATAAATTATAAAGTATATATATGGAAATCTCAATGCTTATAGTTAGTAGTTGGGCTCCAAAAAATATGTTAATTTTACATTATAGTTTGTTATTTGTAGTATTGTTGGTAATGTCGTTACCTTTCTTTTTTATCTTATTATTCATACTTTTCTGATGTAAGTTCTCTTTTGCTAATCACTCAATTTGCTATATTTAATTTTTATAGTATTAAAAGTTAGAATATTCTCTTTTACTTAAAAAATATTGATATAATTTTTTTAAAAAATATATACACATAGTAGCAATATTATGTACTTCAGTTCACTCAAACATTAGCTTGAAGCTATTTAGAGTGAGGTCCTTTCTACGCTAAAATGGTGATATAGTGATTACAGAGTCTAAAAGTCAAAGAAAAAATTTCTAAAAAAAAGTAATTTAATGTGTAAAATTAAGAAGTAATTTGTAAATTGTACATGGGCAGTGCAGATATGTATAAAAAGTAATGTATATATCTTCATAAAAACTTCATAGTGAGTGACCAAGTATAATCATCCTAATTTAAGCATAATTAATTATTATTTTAGTCATAAAAACTTCATAGTGAGTGACCAAGTATAATCATCCTAATTTAAGCATAATTAATTATTATTTTAGTTACTAATTTGATACGCTTAACTATGAACATAATTAATTATTATTTTAGTTACTAATTTGATACGCTTAACTATGAAATAAATCTCCAGCAAAAATAGCAATTAAGATTGTATTATGCTCTAGATAAATAAATAAATGTTATTAGAGCTCATCTTTATATTAAATTTAAAAGTAATAATTTAAATTATTAAGTACCAAATATTAGCTCATGTGAGAAAGTAAAGTAATCTATGGTCTATATACGTTTATAGTCAATCAATCAAACATATTAGATTTATGATGACCACAGTCAAAATTATATGGTGGGTTCACATTAAATATAATTTATAAAAAAATAGTACATTAAATCAAAAACTTTTTAACCACTATATAGATTATCTTAATTTTTTTACATATATAAACTATATTGCCTAGGAATAGTGATGTGCGCACTTAACTATGGTCTAATAATCTTATCGTCATTGTTTCCTTCAATCCAGATTGGTCTACTATTTATGAATTATAAACACATTAATCTAGTACAACATCTCTATTTATTAGTATCTTGAAGTCTTCAAAAGATGAGTGATCATTTAATTCGTAAAGGAATTTTTATATGATTTTTTTCCATATATAAATTACACTGCCTAGGAACAATGAAGTGTTGTACACTTAATTATAGCTTAATAATCTTAAGAACTACTTACTCTTTAATATCATTATTAATTGACGTATTTATGCATTACACTAAAAACACAATAAAAATTTAGAAAACTACAAAAGAAACACCCTAAATTTTTTTAAAAATTATAAAAAACACCCTAAAATTTTGTAATTTATAAATACACAAAACTATTAAACATTACATTGAAATCAAGAAAATACAAAAAATCATTGAAATTTTTTAAACTTTGGAGAGGTAATTTACAATGTGCTAAACTTGAAGGGTGTTTTTTCCGTAAATTTTAATTTTAATAGATTTTCAATCATTTATGTTCTTTTCAAAAAAGTTACGGGTAATTTTGACCATGAGAGGTTTTTCCTAAATCTATACTTTTAAAGTGAGTATGATATTATTTGTAAAATTTTAGTTTTCTAGGGGTTGTTAGTAATTTTGTATATTCATTTTTGCGTCCATAGGTTAGAAATTCTCATGGTATTTTTTATAAATTATGAATTTTAGGGAATTTTTGTAATTTTTTAAACTTATAAGCTTTTTTTACAGATTGTAAATTATTTATAGACTATTTATAATTCATATGCTTTCAATTTACTAATGAGTTTGAAATTCTTAGGGTGTTATTTATAAATTTTGAATTTTAAAGTTTTGTTTGTAATTTTTGAAACTTCAAGGGTGTTTTCTTTAAATTATAAATTATGTAGGGGATATTTATAATTTCTATATTTTCAATGTACTATTAGGTTAGAAATTATCAGAATTTTTATAAATTTACAATTCTGAGGGTTTAATTTTGTAATTTGTAAAAAGTTCAGAGTGTTTATTGTAAATTCCATAAATTTTCGGGGGTAGTTTGTGTTATTTGTAGGTTTTTAGTGTGTTTATAAGTTTGAAATTTTGAAGGTGTTTTTTATAAATTTTAAATTTTTAGGGGTGTTTTTGTAAGTTTTTAAAACTTACAAGATATTTTCTTCAAAGTCAAAAAACTTTTAGTTTCTAGCTAGCATATATTTTTTAGATTTCTCACTGAATTGAAATAAGTAAAATTTATAATTTTTAAGATATTTTAATAAAATTTTAAATTTGTAGGGGTGTTTTTACAATTTAAAAAACTTGGAGGATTTTTTTTACAAAGTCCAAAAAATTTTAGGTGTTGGTTAGCATATGTTTTTTAGATTTCTCTGTGAACTGAAATAAATAAAGGATTTGAATTATATCAAACGTATTTTCTTTATCCAATAACATGTTAAGTCTCATTTTAAATATGATAAATCATTTAGTTACTAATTCAAAGAAGATAAGATAATTAGAATAGATTAGGATAATAATGTAATATTTAAAAAAATTGAGGGTAATACTGGCCATGAAAATATTTTCCCGAACTCGTACTTTTAAAGGGAGTATGATGTTTCCTAAGTATAACTTCTGGAGCTAAGTTGCTTCCAAGAAGAGCCAGTTAACATGGTCTAGTGTGCTCTAACTATAAACTCTATGATCAAATGAGCATTACAACCAGGTATGAAACTATGAACTACTACGATGTAAGGTGAGGCTGTATCAAAACTATTGCACCATTAAACTTGGAGTCCCAAGAGCCACTTGATCGTTAAAATGAAAATTTATGAATTGGCTTGTCCAACTGCTTCGTTGACACTACGGAAGCTCAACAGACTAGTCCAGATTTAAAGTGCACCAACATAGCATCAGTCTATGGTGACCCAGAAAGTATAAAGTATACCTGGTTTCATGGCATTAAATATGCATTAAATGAATGTCACTCATTAGATAATTAAATTTCGGAATTCATATACATATATAAAGGCTAACATCCTTTAGGTACATATTTATTATTATGGACGGCCTTCACTAAATGCTTTCTTTCTAAGGTTCATGCCAAAAAGCCAAACTTCTGTGGAGCTAAAATGCTTCCAAGAACAGCCGGTGAGAATGATCTTCTAGGGTCTATGAGTTGACGAACACTATAAATCGACCTATGCAACTATGGATTAGTATAACAAACAACAAAGCATTGGTCTAGTCCAACTGCACCGTTAATTAATACAATTGAAGCCCAATAGCTTTTTTGGAGCTAAAATTAATTGCGTAGTGAGCTTCAACTAGGAGCTCTATGTGTGGACGAGCTCAGCAATTCTGTATTTTGAAATGAAGGTTCGAGCCTCCTTATATATATAAGCCTAGGGGAAGCCCAACAATTTTCGTTCACATTTATTGAGTCGAGTCTAAGGGCATATTTAGCTTTGATTGAAGGTAATGGAACATTACTGGAAAATAGGGAAGAGAAAATAAGAAAAGATAAAATTCTCTTCACCTAGATTTTCTCAAATCTAGAAAGTAACAAATTTTGTATTGTTGAGAGTGAACGGAAAGAAACTAGAGGGAATATTGCACTCCTTAAAACTATCCAAACTAAATGAGTGGTCTTACCGACCTTCTCTTTTTTATTATTTCCCTCAATCTAATGAGTGCCTAGAGGATTCAAACCACTGGACAGTTAAGCCTATGTGGAGAATTCAGGAAATTCTAGTTTTTGGTCCATATTTTGCAGATTCTGTCATAATCGACTCATGCACAGGTATAAGTCGACTTATGATAAGTCAATGGTAAGTTCACTTACCTTATGTTCTGGAATTATTAGTTTTGGCTCAGTCAAGTCGACTTATAGAGACTGTTAAGTCGACTTGTGGTAAGTCGACTTGTTCCCACTACTAAGTTGATTTACGTTCTGTTCTTCAGTTGTTAATTTTCGCTCTGCCAAGTCGACTTATAGTCCTTGATAAATCGACTTATAACGGGTTTTCTGCACAGTTAGAGTTCCTATTTGGATTCTGTTTGGGTTTTTATTTTGTTATAAATAGGAACACGATTTTGAGGGTTTCTGAGCAGTAAATTGAGGATATTTGGAGTACAGAAAAGAGATATTTTCTGAGCTATTGGTTAGGATTTTATTTGGAGAGAATTAGAAACTTGTTGGTGAGATTAATTGGTGAGTTTGAGTGATTTGTAATCTCAGTTTGTACTCTTCTTCTCTATTAGTGAAAACCACATCTCTTTCTTACCCCGTAGACGTAGGCAACTTGTTGAATCATGTTAAAATTAGTTGTTTGTGTTTGTGGTATTATTTTGGTTTGTTTGGACTTCTCTCGGCATTTGTTTGATTTGGTTTCTCAAAGCACATCGGTTTAGTTTTGGCTTCTGCCGTGCACAACAAGTGGTATCAAACCTTGGGCTATGCTTGGGCTAATTGGAGGAGTAGATCGCTTTGGAAGTTCGTCTAGGGCTTCAGTTGGTGATAAATGTGAGATTTTTTTCTATTTATGGATCTCGTTTCCGTCGTGTGGGGTGGGATCTTTCGGAGTTCCTTGTTAGGGTTTCAGTTGGAGGTAAAAATCTCTCTTTTTTAGTTTAGATCTATTTTTTGTTTGTTCTGTATTGTTTTGTTGGTGTTTTGAGAAAGATGGTCGAGAAAAAAAAATTAGGGAGGGTACTTCCGGCGTGAAGACCGTTCAAAATTTGAATATCCACTCTATGGAGATAGATACGGATAAGTTTAATGGTACAAATAATTTTGATCTTTGGAGATGTGAAGTCTTGGATACGCTCAACACGTAAAATTTGGAAGATACATTAAAGTTGGACGGGAAACGGGCGACACTGAAGAGAAGGTTTGAAAGAAGATGAATAGAACGGTGTGTGGTGTGATTAGATCTTATTTAACTCAAGATTTGAAATATGATGTGATCAATAAGACTTCGGCTAAGAAGATTTGGGAGATCCTAGAGAGCAAGTATTTAACCAAGAGTGTAGAGAACCGCTTCGCTTGCATTTGAAGAGGAGACTTTATCGCTTTCAATTAAAGAAGGGAACCTCCATTGATGATCACATGAATCACTACACGAAGCTTCTTGCGGATTCGGCGAATATAGATGTGATGATTGAAGATGAGGACAATGCGTTGTTATTGTTGAGTTCCTTGCCCGACGAGGAATATGAGATATTCGTTCTTACTATTATTAATGGGAAGGCATCTCTTTCATATAGTGAGGTCACCGTTACACTTGTGAATTATCAGCTTCGAAAGAAGGATAATGAGACTTCAGTTGAGCAGATAACAGGGGCATTGGTCACAGGAGCAAATAGTCTAAACCATGGTAGAAGGTTGTAGTCTAGAGGGGCACATCCTGGAGTTCGTAAAAATTAGTGTGCCTTTTGTAAAGAGGATGAATATTGGAAAGCCAAATGCCCAAAGTTGTTTGATCGAGCCGGAAGAATAAGAGGAAAGCTACTCAAGCTTCAGAGGTGAATGTTGTCAAGACTAGTGGTGACAATTCAGATTCGGATTCTTCAGGCTACTCATTAGTACTACCGTCAGTTTGTGTTGCTGACTCTACATAGTGGATGTTGGATTCGGGTGCTTCTTACCACATTTGCCCTAGGAGGGATTTGTTCTTCAACTTTCAGGAGTTGGAAAGAGGAGATGTGGTGCTCATGGGTAATAATCATGAATGACCTATTTGTGGTATCGGTACCATTCGTATTAGAATGTGTGACGGAGTGATTCGGGAGTTGGACGAAGTAAAGTTCGTTCCTCAGTTGAAGAAGAACATCATTTCACTTTTTTGAAGGCAGCAGGCTATCGTGTGACCTTAGAGGAGCATCTTTGAAGGTCACATTTGGGTCCTTGATTATGATGAAGGGCATCAGGAGGAAGGATTTGTATTATTTGATTGGGAGTATGGTGTTTGATAGAGAGTTGACGACTTCTTTGGATTTAGCTAGACTGTCGTATTTGTTGAGGCTAGGATATTTGATTGATTATGTCATGCATTGGTTGTTGATGAGTGCTTTGACCTGCATATTAAAGTCTTTTGAGTACATTGGTATGAGCGAGAAGACCGAGGTAGAGTTTGGCACTTCTATCCATCGATCAAGGGGTCTTTTAGGTGGTGTTCATTCAGGCATTTGGGGGCCTTCCAAGGAGGCATCATTGGGAGGTAACCGGTATTTGGTTTTCGTAGTTGGGGACTATTCTAGGTATTAGTGAGTTACAACCAAGTCTCGTTGATGTGAAGTCCTAGAAGTCAACAATAGATGGAGGAAGTGTGTTGGCAGAAAGGTAACCCGTCGTTTTGTTTTTGATAGGGGTTCTTTATTGTATTTTTGCCGAGCTCATGGCAGTTTGAGATACTTCATTAGAGAGGAGACATTGGGGCAACGAGATAAGACGACAGTTTTGATGGGTCGTTCCTTGCTGGAGGAGAATCGACGTTAGTTGTCGAGCATTGGATTGCAGAGGAGTTTTGGAGCTTCGACATATTTGGGTCATCTTAGTCATAGGTTATCGACTGTTGCGTTTGGAGATTTTGGATCTGGTGGAGCTGATTCAGATTTTGGGTTATGTTGGATGTTTGTTACCCAATATTTGGTCACACCGAGGATGTGAGATTTAATCTGATAGCACATTTAGGATTCAAATGCTCGTTTGGTTATCAATTGGGAGACTCTGATTTTGTTCTGAGCAGGAATGGAATGTCACATTTAACTCTCAGCAGGTGGAGAGTGTTGATCAGATTGTTGGGATATTACAGCGGGTGGAGGGTGATGCTACTCCATGTTGGGTGGGGATTACTCTACATACTCCAGATCATACTGCATTGGTTAGGATTCCAGTTAAGATGACACCGTTTGGGGATCATTTGGATTTGGATGCAGATGATGAGTTGGTTTTAGATTCGAGTGCAGTTGGTGGATATAATTTTTATTTGGATATGGCCATTGGTTCATCTCAGGTGGAGGTGTTTAGTTTGTTTCACTTTGGGTCCATTGGGAGAGCTATCTGTTACAGATTCGTTGGTGATGTTAGAGGAGGGTTGAGAACTCTTCTATTGGATTGAGGGTCTTTGGAGGCCGTTGAGTGAACTACGTGAATGCTTGATTCCTTGGGCAAGAGGATACGTAGACAGTCATTTATGATGCAGCCGATTTGGTGAGTAGATACCGATGTTTGGAGATTGATCACATTCTTATTTGGGTCTCGACTTGTTGTTGATTGAGTTCGTTGTTGTGATTTTGTTTTACTTCGTACTGGACACAACAAGTAAGACATTTGGTTTGGTTGGTGTCGGCTCAGTTTTGGAAAAACTTCGCTGAGGTGAAGATTTGTGGAGAATTCAGGAAATTCTAGTTTTGGTCCAGATTTTGCAGATTCTGTGTCATAAGTCGACTCATGCACATGCATAAGTCGACTTATGGTAAGTCGATGGTAAGTTGACTTACGTTCTGTTCTGGAATTGTTGGTTTTGGCTTGGTCAAATCGACTTGTGGTAAGTCGACTTGTTCTCACTGTTAAGTCGACTTACATTCTGTTCTCCAGTTATTGATTTTTGCACTGCCAAGTCGACTTATAGCCCCTGATAAGTCGACTTATAGCGGGTTTTCTGCACAGTTAGAGTTCCTATTTGGATTCTGTTTGAGTTTCTGTTTTGTTATAAATAGGAACACGATTTTGAGGGTTTCTGAGCAGTAAATTGGAGATATTTGGAGCACAGAAAAGATGTATTTTCTGAGCTATTGATTAAGGTTTTGTTTGGAGAGAATTAGAGATTTGTTGGTGAGATTAATTAGTGAGTTTGAGTGATTTGTAATCACAGTTTGTACTCTTCTTCTCTATTAGTGAAAACCTCATCCCCTTCTTGCCTCGTGAAGGTAGCCAACTTGCCAAACCACGTTAAAATTGATTGTTGGTGTTTGTGGCATTATTTTGATTTGTTTGGCATTTTCTCGACATTTGTTTGATTTGGTTTCTCAAAGAACATCGACTTGGTTTTGGCTTCTGCCGCTCACAACAGCCTGGAGCCCAATATCCACATAACTCTTATATAAAAAATATATGTTATTCTAGTCAACCTCTCTATTAACGTCACGGAACGCCAAACGATTAGTCCAACTTCTTTACAGGAAATAACTCTACCATAAATAACATTTTATTCCTTGAGCTACATTTTTGGTTTTTTTTTTCTTTTCTTAAGAAGCTGTAACCATCCATTAAACTGTTCACGCTTATGATTAAACGAGTAATCTCTATACTATCTGGGAACAATATAGAGAATCATATGATTGGTTTGTATATGTTAAAAGAATTTAAGTACAATTAGATAAAAAATACTTAAATAAAAGAAAATTTTGTAGATAAGTGATAAGATTTAAAACCTTCCAAACGACCTCAAGATCCAATCCAGAATCAATATAAACTGCTGCTGCAAGAGATTCCATAATATCGGCCAACACCTTGGGAGCTTTCTTTGCACTCCCTCTGTAGGTCATCGGGTCAATTTCACCATGTCCTTCACTTATAACATCCCAATTGAACTCCTCCACCTAACAATAGAAAAAAAAACATGAAATAAACCTTTCAAATATTTGAATATTAATTATTCATTTAGAATGGTCTTTTATGAGTGAAAAACATTGTAGCATCCGTACATGGTATATTGACTAATTATTTCATAAGTAAGTATTTGAAAATTAATAATATAGAAAATATTATTTACTAATAATTTCATAAAAGAAGTATATTCGCGTACTCGTGATAGAAAGGCAACTATGAAAAAATAAAAAAAATAAAAAAGCCACGACTATGGGTAAATTTTAACAAACACCCCTAAGCTTTAGTGTAATTTGCACAAAACCCTCTTGAACTTTGAAAATTAGGGGCTGTTTGGTTCGCTATTATAAGGAGTGAAAAACTCGGAAAACCCCTCCACGTCAGATTTTTAGTCCTCCACGTCAGTTTTTTTATTTCCGTCCATTTCTTTGTGCCGCTTTGGTTCGCTCGGAAGGAAGAGGGAAAACTCTGCTGAAATCGCCGCCAACTAAGATTTTTTTTCCTCTCCGATTTCCTTTCCTAACCAAGTGAAATTGATGAAAACTCTGTCACGTCAGATTTTTTTTCCTTCTCTGCTTTGTTTACAAAAGTTTTGCTTTTTTTCCATGCGAACCAAACACAAGAAAAATAAATACATTGGTTTCCCACCATTTTTTATGTGCGAACCAAAGCAAAACAATCTATTTTTTGAAAAAGTTTAGAAAACTCAAAACTTGTGTTTCTTTACATGGAATTGCATTTCTCTATATCAAGGAAACGAACCAAACAGCCCCTTAGAGAAAACTTTGTAAACTTTGGAGCTTTTAGCCAAGGTTTTAAAATTTTAGGGAATTTCGTGAAACTCCCAAAGTTAGGAGGGATTGTCTTCTCGAGGGTTTTATACAAATCACCCCCGATTTCAGAGGGATAAATTTTGCCGATATTCACCCTAAACATTGTTAAACCAAGAAAGCTAGCGATGTTTATTTACCTTAAAATCAAGTTCTTCAGCATTGCGGCGAACAAAGCGGTAAAGCCCGTGCCGGACTTCTGCACGTGCCAGCTTCTCATTGGACACGTTCGCGGAGCAAAGGGCCGAGAGCTCGCCGCGACCGAGACGGGGGTTATTCAAATACAAGTAATTGGTGAATGCAAGGCAAAGAACCGCATCCCCGACGAACTCAAGCCTCTGGTAGGATTCATGGGCCCGGTCCGAGGAGTGGGTCAGGGCCTCCTCAAGGAGCCGGGGGTTGCGAAAACGGTAACCCAGGACCCATTGGGCCTCGACCAGATTGACACGCGTCGACTCGGCTCCGAAGATGAGAGGAGGAGGCAGAGGTCGAAGGAGAATATTTTCCAGGGGAAGAGATTTTGAACGCGAAATCGCCGCTCTGCGCTCTGATCTTGCTCTTGATCTTCTTGAGGACGTCATGCTGTGATTACGGTCTCTCTCTGTTTTTCTCAGGGGTTTGAGGGGTTGAAGTGTGTATTAATAAGAAATTTGGGTTTTGAGTCTCAATAGGATTTGGATTAGGGGAGAGTATTTGAATCCGGAAAGGACTGTTCTGTAGTAGTTTGAGGCCTATGAGCATTAGGATTTTGGGTGTGCGGGGTTGGATTATAAGCTGAGAAAGACAAAATTTAGAAATGTAATTCCTCAAACGAAAAAAAAAAATCGTTATTAAAGAACTGTAGAAATACAACAAACAAAAAGTGAATAAAGATAATTAGTCCAACAATTATTAGTCAAAAGGAAAGAAAACTGGGGAAGAAACCATCAAAAGATGGTCTCCACCTATTTTCTCAAAAAAAAAAAAAAAACTCTGAAATGAGTTTTTTAGAAAATGAGTAGCATCATTTAATAAAGTGCTGACATCTCATCTTATATTATCTCTTTAGTTAAGCGTCAAGATAAGAAAAAACTCCTACACAGAGGAGAATTAAAAAAAAGTTAGTTTTCCTCAGTTTCCTACGTTTAGTTCGCCAATAGAAAGAGGGAAATGTGAAGGGGATCGCACTCCACGTCACACAAAATGGAAAATTGGTTTTCACAACTCAAATTTTGGTAGAAAATACATTAAAAGTGAATAAGAAAACCCATCTCACATATTTTGGAGTTACATACCCTCAAATGTTCATATTTTAAAATTAGTACCTCAAAACTTTAAATATTTAGCAAATTATAACCTCAAAATTAAATTAGTCCCTCCTATCTTTAAACATTTTGACATTACTCCCTCAAGTATTCAGTATTTCAAATTAGTCCCTCAGATCTCTAAACAATGTGTAAATTACTACCTAAAATTTAAAAACAGTTCTTCAAACCTTTAAATATTTTGAAATTGCTCTCTCGAATGTTCATAATTTGAAATTAGCCCCTCAAACCTCCTCACATATCAATTGCATTCTTCTATTTCCAAGTTTAACCAACTAAGGAATGTGATGGAAATTACTTATACCCTATGTTTTTTGGCAAAGCAAACATAAAAAACACTTTTTCTGGAAAATGAAGGAAACATGAAAAAGTGAAAGAAAATATATTTTTTTATCGTGAAGGAAAACAACCAAACAGGCCCTAACAGTTTCCCTTGTATTTTGTGGCCACCAAATAGGAGGTTTTGTTGAAGGTCTCCCTCTGATTTTTTTTTTTAACGAATTTGACTTTTCAACAATCTTGTGGGCTGCTCCCACATGAAGCATGTGGTGTTATCATGCAATATTTTTCATAAAAAAAACAATGTTATGTGTGAATTCAGCAAAGGTTAGCTACAAAGTCTAGCTCACCATCTTTTGCAGTTTTGCGGGATATGTCACTCCCACACACGTACGAGATGAATACCTTTAAATTCACTTTAGTTCTCTGAATAAGATCAGAGTAGCAGGCAGAGCAACAAGAAGCATAACTATTTCTAAAAAGCTAGCAACATAACTCAATCACATAGAATTGAGTTGTTACAGATAGAGCAAAAGAGAGGAGAGAGAGAGAGAGAGAGAGAAAAGAACTAGTCTTTTGTTTTGTGAACGTGGGGGCCACCCACGTGATTTTGTAAGCCTTCGTTTCCTTTCCGCGTGAGATTTCGGGCCGCTAATCTCATATAAATACCAACTATGTTTAGCCTAGGGTTAATAGCAAGGCAGGGGAATAATTCAAGGCGGCTGCAGAGGGTTTCGCGAAGGAGGAAATTACAGAGAAAAAAAAAGTCGGCTGACTTTTCTCTTGGCGGCGGACGAAACTGCAGAAGAAAAAACGAAGCTGCTGTTTTTTAGTTTTTTGTGTATCCATTTGATAATCATATTTTTATTACAATTTTATATTCTCATTATCTATTTTACATGAATAAATATACCATTAATAATTGTTGTTAGCTTAGTTTCCACATAATTGAATGAAAATATAAATAAATATTATTAAATGTAAAAACCCCTCAAAATATCTCTTCTCTATTTTGTAGCATTTTAGAAGCCCATGAAGCAAAAGCTTAAAAGAGGAAAATGATTGAAGCCCAAAGAGCATGAAGCCAATCAAGCAAGTGAAGAAAATGATCTGCAGCACATCATGTTACAATTGAACCCAAAAGCCAAATGTCCCAAAACGTTATGGCAGCTCCTCCTCTTCAATTTCAAGTGAAATATTTGAGTTTCAAAAGCCCAAAAGAAGCCAACACAAGCTCCTCTTTATTCTAAAGTGAGCTTGAAGGCCCAAAGCCCATCAAAAAAATAATTACACTCATTTTCTCTCAAGGACTGGACTTAGGACTGCAATGGACAGACTGGCTGCAGTTGGAATGGAGACCGGACTTGCTTTGCTTGCTGAGCTTCATTTTCGGTTTTGAAAATGAAATGGGAAACTCCAATGGGCTGGACCTGATGCAAGACTTGGCTTTTGCAACTTGGATGCATCGATGCCTGCATCGATACCTGCATCGATGCCTGCATCGATACCAGATTACTGTAGCGTGCGTCAATGGCTGATTGTGCTTGTCTTGGGGCTCTCGTTTGATCCAATGGCTCTCATTCACTGATGTTTACTATAAATAGGGGTTGAGAGTGAGGGGTTAGAGGTGTGAAAATTTTTGTAACTCCTTTTGGAGAGGAGGGCTACTCTTAATTGAGAAGGCCTTCCAAAATTGTAACTTTAGTTGCAATTAATAATAATAATTTTTTCACCACTTTAAATTTTTCTCTTCTTCTCTTTGTTGGATGATGAAGATGAAGATGAAGATGGAGAATTATTTGAAGGTTTGCATTTTCTTTTATTTCTTTTTTATTGCTTATTAGTTTAGATTTATTTCTATGCTTGTAGTTATATTTTATTTTCTTGTTAAATAGCCAAGAGGCTAGAACCCTCTTGCCTTAGATTTATTTCATGCTTATAGAGTGGATTTATTTTCTTGCATTTAATTCTTGTAATTTTATTTTGTAGTTTAGATTTTGCAATTTATTTTGTATTTTAGATTTTGCAATTTATTTTGTAGTTAGATTTTAATTTCTTACACTATTCACCTTGAGGCTAGAACCCTCTTGGGTTTAGTTTTTCTTTTTGTTTATTTTTATTTTGTTTGATTCGCCTTTAGGCTAGAACCCTCTAGGGAATCACCCTTTTCTAAGAAGTGGGTTCAATTGTAGATTATCCATATCTATAATTGAATCCACCATCTTTAATTTCTTGCATTTTCTTTTATTCTAGAATTTTGTTCTTCATTCTTGATTTTTTATTTGTTTCTTGATTTTATTCATTTTTCCTTCTCACCTTATTGATCATACTCATTCTTTTTCAAATCCACTCTCACTTACACTTTGCACCTATTTACACACCATTTTCACTTTCTCAATCTCTTCACAATCACATTCACTCATCAATCTTATTTGTCACGCACACAACCTAAGAACCGATTTTATAATTTCTCCTACAAAACACCTTCCTCGTGGATCGATATCTTTATACTATAACTTGACACGGTTGTACACTTGCAACATTTTTGGTACATAATTATGCCGTATCAAGTTTTTGGCGCCGTTGTCGGGGAAGGTGCTTAAGTAGGTTTTAATTATTTTGGTTCTTTAACTTGTGTATTTTTTGTGAAGGAAAAGCTTGGAGCTTGAAGATCACGGATTGGAGAACTAGGATTTGAAGATTTGCTTTCGGGTAAGTCCCCTTTCTAGTTTTTAATTCCACCCTTTAGCTACTTCTTCACAATTAGAGACAATTAGGACTTAAAAAAAGAAAGGATTTTATTTTTTGTTAACCATAATAAAATTCATCCTCCACTTTGACATTTACTAGCAAGATAATAAATTCAAACAAATTTCCCCCTTCTCATTTGTTTGATTGTTAACCTTAATTAAAAAAAAGATTTTTTTTTTCTTTTCCATCCTTTTAAGTTGCTTTTAATTCATAGGGTTGCATTTCATATTGATAGTAGGAATTCACCAAGTGATTTGAGCATCTTGATTTGGCACACACTTAAAAATATTTTTAAGGGCAAACCCCCATAATCAAGATAAGGTGAGGGATTTCATCACCCTTTCCTTAGCCCAAAAATCACTAATTCCTCACTACACCACCCAAGCCTAATAAAACTCATTAGACGTTGGCCCCTAAGGATTCGAGCTCAATAAGGAACAAGAAATCCTTAAGTGAACCGGTTTAAGTTTTCTCAGATTAGTTGGTGTCTAAGGCAAGGTTTAGGGGTTGCGTAAAGCGCTCCGCAAGGAAAGAGGTACTTAATTGATCTTTGATCACCCTCTAGTACTATCCTTACCTGGCTAACTACCTGGGTAAAACTTTGATCTTTTCATTGTAGGAGTTTTTGGTTAGGAGCTGGTCTAGTTGAGTTAGACTAAACCCTAGAATTAGAGTTGATTGAAAAGTGATTGCTTTGATTTGTTTTAGTTAGGATTTTTCTTTTTCTTTATCTTCTCATAAAAAAACTAATTTTTTTATTTTCTTTAAAAAAAATAAAAATAAAAAGAAATATTTTGGTGTATGCAACAGTGGATTAGGGATAATACACGTCGATTAATTCGCTTTGAACCAATCATAGAAATGGAGCATCCTAATTCACCCGTTCTTCATGATATGTGCTATCCCATTAGGAATGTAATTCCCTCATGCATTAGGCTCCCCGAAACAAATGGAATAAATTTTGAGCTTAGACCGCAATACATAAATATGCTTCCCAAATTCCTTGGTAATGAAACAGAAGATGCATATATTTTTATTTCGGAATTTAAGGAAGTATGTATTATGATTAAAATGAAGATGCGGTTAAGCTTAGATTTATTCCATTTGCTATTAAGGATAAAGCTAAAAAATGGCTGTACAGCTTACCAACAAATTCCATCTTAACTTGGGATGAATTTGTCACCGTTTTTCTTAAGAAAATTTTCCCTATTCATAAAACGGTAAAGCTTAGGAACAACATTCAAAACTTTAAAATTATCCCGAGAGAACATTTTTGGAAGTATTTTGACCGATTTAAAGATATTCTCATCCAATGTCCTCATCACGGTTTAGAAAAATGGCGATTGTGCCAAATAATTTATGAGGGATTAGATTATTCTGCAAAAACTTCCTTAGAATCAATGTGCCACGGGGATTTTATGAGGAAAA